ATAGCACAGTCCTGACTCAATTGAAGTTTCCTCCTGTGTTTTTGCAGAGCGGCTGTGAATGAGCTTCGAAACCTTCAGTACCTACCCAGGACGTCCGAGCCCCGAGAGATGTTGGTTGAAGACAGGACGAGATGCCACGCGGATCATGTCGGTCAGGGATTTGATCGTATGACGACGGCAGCCGTAGGAGTGCTCAAAGCAGTGCATGCAGGGGATGAAGGGTAAGTTGACCAACGCCCATTTTTCTTCTCTTTGCCTCTTCCAGCAAAGTCCTGTCTAGTGATTGGTCATAGCTGATGAGTTGTGCCTGTGTGCTGTGAATCAAAAACAAAGGTGTTTATCGGCAGCCATTTAAAGTGCATTAAATGTATGTCACCAAGCTGTTACCAAGAAGAACTTCCTAGTTCAGTGCACTAAGTCAAGATATGCACTCTAACCCTAACTGCCCAGTGTCCATCAAACTCAAACAGCAGTTTTTGCTAGGTTTTGGCCGGTTTGGTACCAAACCCAATTAACTTCTTGTTGAATTTGTTGTACTTGGTATCAAAGGCGGGGGATGATGGTGTTGGATTTTGTGTGAGTTGGGACACACTGGGGTCATTGTGTGCAGTGTCTGACTTGCTGTATCAAGTGTTGAACTATGCTTGATATGTCAGGTTTGGTACTGCCTCGGTGCAAGTCATCCTGTACTGCATAGACCAATCCATACCCTATCACTCAAACTCCAACGGAGTCACTTGCTGGAGTTTGTCAGGTTTGGTACAGTGACCTGCATTTAGAGTACAGACAAGTACATTTATCTGTTGAGGTTTGTGGTATTCAGTATGCTCCCCAGTGCAAGAGCCCAGTAGGTTGGGGCCAAACAAGTGTACTTTTTGTATATGTTTGTATGTTACAGCTTTGGAAGCTTTGCACAGTGCAGTGGGCACAGTGTATACAGGGAAGTCTTGTTTGTAGGTACACCATGGAAACAACGTCTAATTAGGAGAGAGTGTTGGCACTGTTAAGAGCTGGTGGTGTTTCCTGAAGACAAACAGAGCACAATGTTTGAACGTCGAGACCTTTCCCATCACTCCCACCACTGGCCCTTCCCAGAGCCTACACTCTCTCCTGCAAGACATTGGTCTCAAAGTGCTATCTGGAAACGATGCTTCCCTGTAACTGTTTGATTGTTTGCCTGCGGCAGTGCTTGGTTGCACGCAGTATATAGGTAGTCATTCTTTTGTGATTATTTGCAGTATTTTTTTAGCAGCGTGCTCTATGCGATGTCCAAGGTTGCCTCAATGTAAACTAAAGTGCCCAGAGGAATCTTGCCGCTGCTGTCACGAAAGAAAATGATGTTAATGTACATGTGTGTGTTCATCCCTTGCCAGCTTTTCTTCTGTGCTTACATAGCAGGATCCCATCATTTGAAGATTTTGAAAGATTCAAAGGGTTGTAAGATATATTTGAGCCTCAAACTCACTACTGTACATTTGCATTTCGTTTTTGTGCTCATGACAGGGGTCCTGATCGTGATGTGAAGGATGTTGTGGCGTTCTCTGCTGCAAACTTCTTTGATGTTGTTGAGAGCCTCCAACTAGACCTTCATGAGCCCCCTGTCTCACAGGTTGGTGTGCAGTGCTTTTGTTCTGTTCTTTTTTCTCTAATCATACATGTAAATTCAGCTTTATTTCATAAAAGTACTTGAAGGGTAGCTGCAATCGATTTTTTGACTAACTATTCAAAATGCTTCACTATTTCAAAGGGTGTTTTACTGCCCTTTTTTATGCAAATAAGTTTCCATATTCATGAACAAAACTGTGATGTCATCCCAAGAAGAAAGTCTCACTGTTGCACTGATTTGCATACAAAAAAGTCCTGCATTTTTGTAGATTTTGCTGAACTAAATGTTTCCTTCTTTGCTTAATCATTATTGTTTATATTCACAGCACATGAACTAAGTTCTGACAAATTCGGATTTGAAATTGTAAATATGCACCTTTTTGTCTTGCAGTGTGTTCAGTGGGTTGAGGATGCCAAGCTGAATCAGCTGAGACGTGATGGCATCTCGTACGCCCGCATCAAACTTCGCGACAATGACATCTACTTCATCCCCCGCAACGTCGTCCATCAGTTCAAAACCACGTCGGCCTGTGTGAGCATTGCCTGGCACATGAGGCACAAGATGTACTATCCAGACCAGGAGAAGGATACGGACGACTCCAAGGAGGAAGAGAAGGGGGAGGCGGAGATCAAGAAAGAGGCAGAACCAGAGGCAGAACCAACGAGCCATGAGGTGGGCGAACCTGAGGTCAAGATGGAGACTGATTCGTAACACGCATGACGCAGTAAGTCTCGCCCAAAGACAAGCAGAATTAAGTCAGTTGAACTCCTGTGATCACCCCTCGACGTTTTGATTTCACCAGAGGGGTGATGAGACATCTTTTAGATGTCCCATTTGGAGTTGGATTGGGGGATGTGCTTTTACATGAGACTATTTGAAGTGATCAACATGGACTCATACTTTCTCAATTCACAGAAATTTGGATGACAGCTTTGGAAACAGTTTTAAGACGTTGTTCAAGCAGACGTCTTGAGGTTTAAACTCTGTAGACTGATCCAAGGATATGCCATTTCTTCAGTGGCATCACATTCAATCGCATTCTTGAAGTTGAGGCGTGCATTTCTTTTCAGCAAGTTTCTGGCAGGGTTTAGGGGGATTGGGCTATCACCATCACCCCTCCCCACCAAACAAAATTCACTGAATGTTTATTGCTTGAGCTTGTGACACCATTCAGCAAAACGCCTACTAAAATTGTCTAGCGTCTCTTTAAAACAATTCAAAATACAGGTCCTCAACAATTCTTTACAATACAACCCCCTTCCACACACAGTCAAACTTCATCAATAGATCGCTTGGACTTGGCAGATTACCTTGTTATGACAGGAACTTTGTATTATGTGGAGTGGATACATTGAAGAACAAAGGATTGGAACCTACATTTTAGTATACCTTTTGATATGAACGAGGTTTGACTGTATCAATCGTATTCTCCCCCCGGGCATTTGGAAAGAGGTATCAAAACCATACAAGGTGATTTAATCATTTATCTGAGGCAAATGATTGATTCTAGGGGCAAATATTGAGAAACAATTCGTCAAACTTTTAAGGGTCCGTGCGGGTGAAAATAAAACAAGTCACAGTGAAGGTCTGCCGATTTTCCATTGTATGCATTGTAAACGTAATTCATCCCCTTGAGAAATTCTGTTTTTTTCCAGTCTTTCAACTGGCAATCTTAGTTTCCCTATTCATTTCCTAAAATAACACTGATGAGGGAAAAGTCATATTTGAAAGATATCAAACTTTGATCAGATTCCCAGAAGTTGTACTGGAAGGCAACTAACTGCAGCGTTATTTAATCAAGACTGGTCCTCCGTGGGTCATACATTCTGTCAGTTTGACCTGCTCACAGTCAGGGTATCAGACATTTTTCGGTCTACTAACATACACCTTTTAGTACTTTTCTTGGCCAGTAACATTTAACTTTAAGGAATGTCGGATGTTCAGTCATACATGTACCTGTACATTCGGCTTACACCAATTACACCAGTCACTTCTTCCCATGGTCTTTGGAAAAGACTCAAAGGATAGTTTCAAATTGAGGTCCAAATGTGAGAGAACAGACCACAATTTTATCTGAACCACATTCAGGAGTTATATATATTCAAGCTACCTTTTTCACTGTACATTTTTTAAATTCTTCATTCCAGCTGTATATTGTAGAGATAGAATGTTTTTACCTATCACTATGGCCTTTACTATTTATTGTAGACAAAGTGTAAATAAGTTCCTTTTTTCAGGAAAACTATTTATTTAGATGTCATAATGCAAACTTGAGGATTACTCTACAACATTCTGAGACTGCAGATTGTCAGTTGTCGTGTGGCTTGATTTACCTTTTGAGTTAAAGGGTAGCTGCAATGCATTTTATTCCAAACTCCAAAATGTACTTACATGTGCATGGTATGTGCCCCCTTTAACCTCATTTTCAATTTAAGAGTATTTTGCTGCCTTGTTAGTTTTCATGCTGAGTATTTCCATATTCATGAGTAAAACTGCAATGTTGCCCCACGGAAGAGAACCTCACTGTTGCTCTGGTTTGTGCTCAAAAACTGCTGATTTTTGGGGTTTTTTTTAGGTTTTGCTTGCCTGGTTTTCTTTTCTTTGATGTTTCCTTGTTGTGCAAGTACATAGCAATAAGTAAGCGTGTAACCCTTTCTCAGAAATGTTTTTGGTATGTTCTGAGTTCATAATTTGAGCAGAAAAACCTATGCACTGAAATGTGCCTTCCCTGGATGACATCGGAGTATTACAGCGCCCTCATTTGCCCAGGAAAGATGGGCAATTTGTAATGTTTTAAGAAGTGCCCTTTTCAGTGCATTTAAACGTATAAGGAATGGCGGTTCATTTTTGTACATTGAACAAGAGTACAAAGTTGCCGAAAAATTGTGTCAGAAAAAATTCATTGCTGCTACACTTTAATGAATGAGACATTTTTTAACGTCAAGTCTGGGACTACTTTAGCTTAAAAAAGGGATTGAAATAAATGGCGCCGAGACTGTGCATAGCCTGCCTGCGTGCACACTGTACATTTACAATATACGTTTCTGTCAATTGGGATTGTGAACAGCTCTGAATACCATTACCAATTTACAGTCATGTCATGCCAGATTACACAAAGTGATGTAATCTTGTGTCCATAATGGACATATGGAACCCCTTTTTGTGTCATGTGAATTACTATGGAATAACAGGCACTGAAAAGTCCCACTGAAAGCCTGGCATTGCAGTGAGATCCAACTTCATAGTGTGCTGGTAAATTTTGTTATGCTTAGGTTGCGAGCTATGGGGATGTCAGCTCTCAGACTAAAAACCCTGATTTCACTTGTCAAGTGACTTGTAAGCTTCAAACGAAATTGTTTCTGTTCACTTACATGTATGTACTCTTTTGGACCTGTGATAACTTTTTGCACACAAGCCTGTCATAGCTGTAAAAATGATAAGTAGGAGAAGGACGTGGGAGATTATGCAGTGTTAATAATTTTGTTTTTGATATTTGTAGCAGTCGAAGATACATGTATGAATGATTTTGTAGTGCTGTTAACTTGTACCTATCAGAGACAAACAGAACTTGATTTGTTGTGCATACAGTAGCATATACTGTACGTGTACATGTAATGGGAGACTTTGAGGTGCTTGGTGGCTGCAGATACAAGGTCCTTTTTGGTTGATGTGGGCATGCGCGTGGAGTTCTAGGCATGTGTGTTAGTTCTGAGCACACGCGAAACTGCGGAAAAGGACCGGTTTGTCTGCCGCCACCATGCATCTCAAAGTCTCCCATTCAATGAAGTTGAATCAGGGATCATTTTGTAATGTCCAAGTATAATTTTGATCTGAAGTTCAAGATGCACATGGATGTACCACAGAAATGTAGATTATAGAAAGTTTCCAGTGGACTGTCCTAAAGTGAGGAGCTAGTCTTGTGGATTGTAAAAAAAGCCATTACCTGAGGCACCCGTATCCCCTTCATTTTAACGCATTGGGTGTTGGGCGCCACGTCTGTGTACCAAATAGCCATGTTAAAAAGGCTGTGTTTGATAGTGGCCATGGGTCATTCTTGTTCATTACAGTCACACCACTGTCCACAGACCTCTTCAGTACTGAGGCTGGTTCATAATGCACTGGTCAGCCAATTCCACCTACCTGTATCTGCTATTTTTGTTACCCCAAATTGACCTTTCACATGTCAGCGACCTGCACGGTGTTGAACTTGTTTGAAAAATCTGTCATAATCTTAAAGAGTTGGTGTGCTCGTTTGTTTTGGCCAGCATTGAACTTGAAGAAAAAGCCGGTAGTGTGCAAGCATCAGGTGGCTTCAGTCACTATGCTGATGCTTTTCTTTCACCCTGTCCAGGTAGGTACATGGACAGTGCAGAGGTCGGTGATTCATACCAGTGAAAATTGCCCCTTTTTTGACAGAGAACACCTGCCAATCCACTTGGGAATAAGGTTTGGACTTATGCATTTGATAGTCTTGATTCAAACCGAATCCCAATGGAACTTTCACAGACATCTGCCACCAGATTGATTTGCTTGTTTCATTGAACGTTTCATTGAACTCTTCTCCTGGACACACATGATTTTCAGTGTTAGCAACATGCAAACTACATGTACTGTGCGTTCATAGACCTGATGAAGGATTAGTGGATTTTGTTTAACCATAAGGCGAGTCTGTCTTGTAATCTCACACAAACTAATTGTTAGTGGTGCCTTTAAGGTTACATAAGAGTGTCAGCTACCTGCATTTTTGGTCTCTCAGTTAAGGTACTTTTTAAAAATAGTTCTCAAATATTTTATAGCCTTATTGTGATGCAAGGTTTCCTCAGACATCCTGTTGGTGAAGGTCAGAAAGCCTTGTGTTTAAAATTAATTGTATTTTGAAATCTTATTTTAATTTTTGTTGAGATTTAGTTTTTATGCTAGTCCTAGTATAGTCTGGCCACCTGTCTCTGAGTCTGAGTCAGGTTCATCAAGCAATATAGTTTTTTTTTTCTCACCACAAATTCAGCTCATTTAGATGTGACCACATGCATTGATACAAGTGACAGGAAGATCTGTATTGCTTAACTGTGTAGCGCAGTTTATTTTTCGGTAGTTTTTTGTTTTGTTTTGTTTTTGGGTGTGAAAATAATTGAACTTGTCAAAACATTTTCATTAGTTACTGAAGAACTTATACATTTACGCCACCTCTGTCGCACAATGAAATCTTTGTTTTTGTGATACAAGCCCTTCAAATAAAATTTTGTTTATTAAAGGCAATTGTTAATTGGAAAATATTTGTTATGCAGAAGCAGCTCTGTGCATTTGAGAATTTAACGGAATTCATTTCTGCCTCCTCAGAAAGTGGACAAGGTAGAGATGGCAGATGCTCGTTTGCTCATAAAATTGGAATTATCAGAGTGTACCCCCCCAGCTATCAGTTTAGATCCCTTTATTTTTGTACACAATCTTCATAACTCCTTTCATTTACATGCTGGTAAGTGATGATAGAGTAAGGGTAGTTTCCTCTGTGGCAAGATGAAGCAACATGTCAAGGCCCCTACCCCCCACTGCAGAGGAATACCAAAGCAATACATTAATTAAAGGTCGTTGCCATCGTGTTCTTTCATGAACCAAACTGTGATTTCAATATACTTTTTGTAGAGGCTTTTTGTTTTTTTTGGGGGGGGAGGCTTTTGGTTATTTTTAGTTACACCATGCAGTACCTGTTTTGGAAGTGATTTTTGGTCGTATATTAGGACAGTAGCATAACCAATTTTGATATCGATACCTATAAACAGCAAGTGTGCTGTGTAATTTTTCAAAGACATTGAGAAAGCATTGGTAATTTGTTGTCGTTTTTTGGGGGGGGTGGAGATTGGGTGTGTTTTTGTTAGCCTGCTCCTGATGACAGTTGAAAGATTATACCCAGCAAGATATGGGATGGAGGGGTACCCCCCCCCCGACATGTCCAATCCCTAAACACACACCAGAGTATTGTTACCTAACACATCCCCCCAAATGTCCTGTAAAGAATTTCTGAGATTCCAATGACGAACACAAAGGTGGGGGTGCTCTCCGTCCCATATCTTGGTTCACATGTGAAAGATGGAGCAAACGTTTTTGTCAAGGTGTGCATCTGTTGGATGATCTGCTGCTGTCATCAAGTTCATTGATTTGCAGCCAATTAAGTAAACAAAGTGGGCCCTGTCCTTTTCTGCAGCTTGTAAGATTCTGGTTGCATTCAGCCGGGAATTGAGTTCCAATAGGATAAGTTATGAATTCCCGTGGTGTTTTTCTGGGGAAAACCCAGAGTTCCCATTGTGTATGCATTCAGAATAGACTACATCATTAATTCCCATGGTTTATGGGACAGACTGTGAATTCCTGTGGTGTGTTGGGGAAAGAATCGATATACACTACAGGAGAATTGTTTACCTGTTGAAAATACATGTATTTCATTACTGCAAAATTTTGACAATTATTGTGATATATTTATGATTCTTAGTTTGGAGATCTTAATAAAGATTGTGAAAGTCTACTCCGAGTCTCTCCTATCTTGTTGTATATTGCACCTCATCGTTAATACTAACAGTCCTGAAGCCTCCAATTTTAATATGATTTTGCACACACCCTAGGTAGTTAGGGTTAATGCATAGACCATATTTGATAGCTGATGTCGGCCTGTTTTCAGTCAATGGGAGAAGACGATTCCTTTTTACGTGCATGGAGCTATTGTTACGTGTATATGTATTGGAAAAATATTCTGTCAGAAATTCCTTCGGTGCATTACCTTCTTGCAAAGGTTTTTCTAGAAAAAAAAAAAATTTTACTTTTGGCCGATGTTTCCCATCTCTGGTTTTCCATGGTGTAATTTTATTTCCTGCCAAGTGCCATGCTTGTATGCATTTTTAAATCCTCAACCTTGACCACGGCGTGCAGTGCTCTTTCCCCAAACTCCCTTTTCCAGGAGTCCCGGATCATCGATCAACCTTAACTGTTTCATGTCGCTAATGCACCTCATACCGGAGAGTATTTTTGGAGAGTGAGCACACATTATCCGTGCACGTACCAAGTAATGTGCATGCAACAGTCGTCGGTGACACCCGGAAAATATTGAAGCACTAGCTAGCAGCAGTGACGTCACATCGTATGTTTTTTGCTCGTTTATCGTGCATGCTCGATCTTGAGGTCGTGGTCCGTCATCTCGCAGTCGTACAGATTAATTTTTCACTGAAGCAAAGTAAGAACACAGTTCACGGTTTTCGTCATTGCATACCTTTGCCATAGGTAAGTCTGCAATGATACGTTAAATTTTGCGTTATTAATCCCGTAAATGGTAAGCTTAACGACTAGCTTAGTGATTCCTGGTTAGGCCAATTTTCGGACGTATAAACAAGCATGACAAGTAACATTGTACAGGATACAATAAAATGTTTCTTAATGGTAGGGCTGCGCTGTCGGGAATTTTCAGTCGGACCCGTGAGAAGTCTGAAATTTCAACAGTTTTTTCGAAAGAGCTAGGCCTATTTTCTGGATTTCTATTAAGTTTTAACAAAGAAATGTTCAGACCAGTCTCATAGTCATAGGGTTTGCGCACAGTCGACTGAGTGGCCATGTTTGTGGCGTCCGTACATTCTATGTGGAACTCTCTTTCCTACTTCTGCATCATTCTATGCTCCGTGTAGGTCTACATGTATGACTTATGAGTTCCATATATACGGACATCATTTTCCCTTGCAGTGGTCATAAAAAGTGATAACATGCCCCAAAATGTCAAATTTAGCAGTAAAAATATTGAATCATTTAGGTTGGCAATTTTTTTGATAAAAAACATTTTATCAGATTTTTTTTTAGTAAAATCAAATTTGTGACTTAAGTCCAATTTTTGTATTTCTATCAAATTGGAGCCAAGTACGATGTGTCACGTGTGCATTTATACTTTTTATCAATACTAGGCCTACTACTAGGAACTCAAAGGCTCACAGAGGGGATTTGCAGTTTAAAATGTGCAAACCTGCAAAAATTGTTCATCAGTTGAAAAGAATTTTAAAAATTAAACATTTTGCCCTTTTCCCCAAAAAGTTAAATATGTTGATTTAATCAGTGATTTAAAAAAACAAAAGAAATCATTTGATTAAATTAACACTTTAAATTGGTGAACATTTTAAATTAGTGATTAAAATTTAAATTAAAGTAGAGGTTTTCAGACAGACTAGGCTCATTGAGTTCGTGAACAGGGTGTGAAATGATGTCCATGTATATGTATTGGACTCTTTCCAACTTGCTGCAAAATGTCACACACTTTACAACGAATGAACATGGACCCCAGCTGTGTCTTTGTTCGCTCATGATATTTCCAGGGGTGATGAAGTAATACAAATCACCTGCAAACAAATGAAACAAGTTGTAAGTTACTTTTAGCTTGTTTGTTTTCCATGTCAAATGACACAGGTCAGGTGTAAAAAGGAACACAAAAATGTCCTGTTTTAGGCCCTCAATTTATTACATGACCCAAAGACCAACTTATGATAATCACACATCATAATGCTTGGAGGCATCTTCTAATATTAATGATACATTGGGTGTACTGATACACAAGTTTGGAACAATGTACTGTAAACATGGTATGAGATTATTTGGTCAGGTGCCTGTACTGGTGCTATGTGCATGTTTGCTTAAGTTAATACTGAGCAGACAAATGCATGACCAGTGTGAGGTGATGCTGTTATCAGATAAGTTAGAGTTCATCCTAATGCTGGTTGGGGTAGGTCCTACATGTACTTTATGCCAAAGATATATACATGTAGTCGTACATGGTTTTTTTTAACTGAGCAAGACGTGTACAGAACCTGACTTCAGTGGTCATGTTACATGTACATGTTTGCTGATTGTATTTGCTGTTCACTTGTTCTCAGAGGCATGAAGCTTTACAATGTGAACTTTGTGGCCGTTAAAGATTCATTGGACTGTTTCCTTTTCACACCCCAGGAATAGCCTATCATCAAGTTTCCAGATACATGAGATGAATGTAGCGAAAGCATTCTACAATTGACTAAGTAGCCCAAAAGCAACCACAATGTCAAGTGGCAGGACTGAATCTGATGTTGATGTGGGGAAGGCATCGCCTGCAGCAACCCATGGTGAAAATCAAACGGCGTCCACCATGACCAACGGAGGACAGCCGTCCAAGCCCAGACGAGACAGCAACAAGCGCGTGGTGTTCAGAACCTCTGAGGACTCCACAGCTGATGAAGGCTCGGTGAATGGTCAGGACGAGTTGGTGAATGGGGAGGTTTTCATGACTCCGGAAGAAGTTGCAAGAGAGTTGAAACGAGCACGGTAGGAGTGGGGTGTCCATTTGACATATGTAATGTACCTGTCATCGCCTCATGGTATAATTCTAGGCAGTGGCGTATATCCAGGTTTTGAGTTGGGAGGTAGGGGGTAGAGCAGGGTTTGGGGCCAGATAGGGATTTTTCTAATTTCTGAAACAGTTGTCCAAATTTTTTCGTCCCCAGTAGAATCATTTTCTCCCGGTTTAGGAAGGTGTAGTGCACATGTAGTAGTTATAAAGGGTTGGGCTTTCCATCTGCAGAGAAAAAAATTGGCATCATGCCCCCAGGGCGAGGGGGAAGAGGGAAGGAATATGCCATTCATGCTATTTTTATCAATCCTGGACTGCCTGCAACTTTTATGGAATTCATGTGCTCAAAAGTGTGAATGCGGGATGCACTCAAACTAAAAAAAATCTTCGTCAGATATTTTTGTAACAAAATGAACTTAGGAATGCAGTGTACAGCATTTGCAATGTTTCTGTTTGCCAAGGTATTGCATTAGGAAAAAGTTGCATTTGCCGTGTGAATTCACTGGGAATTTTCTGGTTAATTAAAAAAAATACTAACTGTGTATTGCGTAAGTGGGTTGTGGGAAAAGGGAACAATTACATAATTTGCATCATTGCAGAGCTGTCAAAGCACTTACATGTACACTTTTCACATTCAGTGAAACCTTTGAAGTTACTCATTCCTCCAAGATCCATCTCAAGAGTTTCACACTGTGAATGAACTCGAATCTAATAATAGATCAGAAAAATTTTTCTTTTTAGTGATTCAGTGTAAATCCTATAATCATTCTTAGCTGTACTCATAAATATTCTTGGCCAGGCAGGAAGCTATCAGAAAGATCAGAAAAATTTTTCTTTTTAGTGATTCAGTGTAAATCCTATAATCATTCTTAGCTGTACTCATAAATATTCTTGGCCAGGCAGGAAGCTATCGGTACATGTACATGTATCTTAATCCTCCCAAATCCTTCAGGGCAACAAATTCAATGTGAACCAATATTGAGTGATAGATATGTTTCTATTTTATGAAGTTTTTAAAGTATGCCGAGTTGCCTGCTTGTTCACAGTGACATTCCAAGCGAATTAGGTTTTAGTGATTTAAATCTTGTATTAGTTAGTAGAATAGAATAAATTTTGTGTTTGAGAAATCATAGTGATGGCATTGCAAATTGGTGTGGCATGTACATGTACATGCACCAATATGACAGTTATCACACGTGGAAAACGTGATTGTTGTCAGCATCACGCCATTCTCCAACCTTTTTGTTCGTTTGTTTGTCTGATTCATTTGCATTTCCAAGCATTCAGCAGATAATTTCAGGGTCAACAAACTATATGCAGGTACTTGTGCTTTTGCACATGACTGGGGGGGGTGCATGCATGTGTGCACTGGGGTGGCTGGTTTTCTGTTTGAACTATGTCATGCAGAACTTTTAGATAATGGCAAAATTATTTGATCTAGGCAAAGTTATGCAACAGTTTCAGACGATAACATGTACACAATATGCGGTTTATTAATGTTGAATCTAGGTTTATCTCCAACAAGAAAGGGGGAAAAACTTAAAACTCATAGGTTCAACATGTTTATTTGAATGGATACCATAAAATCACTGGGCATCCTGAACCATAAGGTATTAAAGCCCTCATGTAATCCAATTTTCTCCTGTTACTTACCGGTATGGTAGTTCAATAATTTCTTCAGCATTTCTTTTTGTATGTTCTTTCTGTTCATTCTTTCATGTGATCCCCAATCAGATACATATGTGTATATATGTACATGTGTCCTTGGTTGGAAGTGCATTCACTTACATGTATTTATCCATCTGGGCACACATTAAGTGTAATTGGTAGTTTTCCACACATCTTTGATTCTAATTTGCATGCACCTGCAGAGCAAAACAGCATTCAGCTGAAATGGACTAGTCCTTTCCAGAATGGTTGCAAAGGACAGTGTGCACTTTTTGACCATACATTTTATCCATTTTGCTGCACAAGTGAATGGATTTTGTAGAGTAATTTAATAGTTTGAATCGTACATGTACATATCGGAGGGTTAAGTACATGTACTGTTTTCCACTGGTCAGTGAACTGGGAAAAAAAGATGAGAAATATGAAGGACAGTTTTGGAAATTTGAAAAAAAAGAAAATTAGTTTGTCATCTACATATACACGTACCTGTACAAGGTTCCAGTGATTGAAGCAGTGGTTGAAAATCATTTATTACTGCATAAAAAAATGCATTAAAAAATGTATGTGGTGACAAAAATGTACATTCAGCTGAAACTGGGTATTTCAAACTTTCCACCTCAAACTGTGCTGTTGCAATCATTGATTTTACTTTTGTGGTGGTGGTGGCATTCGTTTGCCTTTCATACATGTGGTGTACACCATGGACCACCCCAAAAAAATTAAATTAAAAAAAACCAAGAATTATGTACATGTAAACAGGACAACAGAGGTCCAGTGGGTTTTAGATTGGAAACTGTGCAAGTCAAATGAGGAAAAGCTTCTGTGAAATTCCTGTTGTACACTTCCTATGTTCTATGTGCTGCATGGTGTGGTTTCCTGTGTTCTACTTTTGCAGTGATCAACCCCATGATTCCTCTGACCCTGAGCCCTACCCTGCCTCCATAATGCATCATAAACGATCCTCCTTTGATGCGTAAGTATTCGTCCATATAATGGACTTTAACACACAAGTTCTAGCATACTGTTTCTAAGTTCTTGATGAAGAAAACTCTAACATTCTAAAATATTTACATTATTTGTAATACACCACTAAGGAAATACTTCAGCAGAGTATTAATTTGCTGTATTGGCAATCGCCAAAAGGTCCAGTATTCGCTTCCCTTACATCAACTTAAAACTTTACACACACAAAGACCTTTAGCTGCCGTGCAGCTGTACAGCGATGTTAGGATGCTTTTTTTTAAAATGTCAACAGTAATGTTGACCATAACGCAGTACCGTTAAAATGATTTAACACCCTCTTTTAGTTTAACCCTAAAAGAGCCAGGGTGGGGGTGGAATCAATCCACCGCCCCCAACCATTTTCCTGATATCACCGTAGTGCATTTTTTTCTGGAGTTGAGCCTTTAGCAGTTTTTAAAGTAACTCTTTGCAGTTATTTCGACATCAATTTTGTGAAAATTGGACATACCGTTTTTGCGCTGTGTGCATTTTTCCAAGATGTGTCAGCCAAAAATGTTCACTGTTTCTACTGCGGTGCTCAATGCACGCTGACTGGCATGCATGTACAATAGCCTTTAACCTCAAATGACCATGTCAACAAAGCTATAAGTCTGAATGAGTTAAAACATCACCTTTGAAGTGATAAGGAGTGTCCTCATACATGCATGCCAAGTTCTTGGGGGGGGGACAGAGTCCATTCCCTCCCCCCAGCTGTGATGGGCCAAAGTAACCTGACTCTTTTACTAGGGTTTAGCATTGACAAATTATTCTTTTGCACAAGACAAACGGCCTATATGTGTGCACATGATAATTATCAAAAGATTGTTTATGCGAACTGACAGATATGAAAAAGGAAATTATAACACAGGGCCTGTTTTGCAACACGATAAACTGGGCTTGAAATCAATATGTCTTTTATCCCCTCTTTTTCAGACCCTTTTCTATAAGGTTTGTATATATGTTTTTTTTCTCTTCTGCCCATACCCTTTGGCACCATCACTCAGTCCGATCAACTTCAGACTTGGCAGACACTTAATCAAGCATGGTCCCCCATGATTTTTAATAAAATGACGTCATCAGGTTTCAAGTGCCATCCCATAAAACCATCAATCACAACATCCTGACAAAACCTCATGAGCATGTTGTAAGTCAATTCTGTAGATGTTCACCAGAAACTAAAGTTGCTAGGAGCAGGTTTGTTTGTGGTAGTGATTCCTTTCTTGCTACTCCCATGACGTCATCGTATTACATCGGATGTTTTGAAGCGTTTTTTCATAAACTCATCCTTTCGTCAATGGTCATGGATTCATACAATTTCACTTTTTCAAGGCAAAAAAAAAATAATTAAAACAGCACCGTGGGTCTCTATCACAACTGCAGTTCCTATTTCTTCACTGTTGTGGTCTCGTAATACAGTACATGTACCATTAGCCACATGTGCACCACATGTACATGTACACATATCACATAATCTACCAAGGCAAATAGTTTCTGTCAAAGCATGGGCGAGGCGAAGCCAAGCCCAGTCTTTGCACGAATCTACAGTTCCGAGTTCTATTCTCTGACTTCAACTATTTCCCATTGTAGCACGAACATGGAGTCCCGAGTCTATGACGCTCTCTCTGTTAACCCTTCGCCTGAGTGCACACCTTTGTTCCATTTATGCACGGGTTTTTTGGGGTACGTGAAACATTGACATTATTCGTGCTGTCAACACCATCCGTGCTGGATACATACTCTCTTCGCTTCCTCTTGCGCCTTAGAGGAGTCATTATACGTTTGTCATTGCAGCCAAACCTATCAGACTAAAACCACCATAGGACGCTGTGAAATTGAGGAATGCTATATCAACTTCATGAGAGTATTTGTGCAGTCAACACTCAGTGCTGGATAGACACCTGTACAAGTATTCTTTTCTCTTCCTCTTGCGCCTTGGATTCATTATTATGTGTGCCATTGGAGTGAAACCTTCCGGAATAAAACCATTACAGGACGCTATGAAATTGAGGAATGCTACATCAACTTCATGAAAGTATGGTTAGCAGTTTTCGAACCACTTTACAAACCACTCAAAATGGTTCACTGATCCTTGCATGTTTTTACCGTATAAAAGAATCATTCTGAAATGCCAATATGATACATATTGCTATTTCATTTGGAGAATGAGCAACATTGGATTCTAATTACGATGCAGATTTTGGAGTTCAATGATAACAATAAAGGATTTCTATAAAGTGCACATATCCACCTAAAATTGCTTATAGTGCTACAAAATTAACAACGCAAGAAAATTTACAGGCTTACTCTTTGAGCAAGTTTATACAAGTATGTTTGATATCCATTTGAAACGAAATGAGATAAATGTGCTAGACCGCAAACTTTGGGAGCAGTAATCCTGACAGATCTGTTACCACAAGACTGGTATGATCTTGGTATAACTAGAAGATGTACCCAAGCTTGCATCAATTCAATTAAACTGTAGTCCAACATTTAAGAAAGACTGGGCAAAACGTAGACACAGAAAAGTAGTCAGAACACATCAAATTTATTCCTTATTGAAAGATGAAGAGAAAATTCAACTCTTTGTTGAAAATCTTTCTTTATAAAGCATTAATCCTGAAAAAAGAGTACGTCATTTTCTGTGGAGAAAGACAAACATACACACAAAGCCGGAGTGCGGGAGTTTGTGGTATACCATAAATATCCCCACTGTGCCTGTTAAAGATGCCCAGCAGAATCAGTGTCAGTGCCAAGCCATAGTTTTACGGTACCACATCCCTCCGGTCATAACTGCTTTGACCGAAACGGGGGGGACACAAGGGTAATCTTCTTCTTGTTACGGAACGACAATGACTGTAGATTTGTTACGAATCTACAGTTAACTATAGATTCGTTAAAATAATCTACAGCTAACTGTAGATTCGTAAAAATAATCTACACTTTGAACAAAGGAGTGATGTCACAGAAATAGTTTTAATTTCAAAACCTTAAAGGAATACATTTATCTGGGACTTAATGTGCCCTCCCCCCGTTTGATTTGACCATTTTCCTGTGCTGTTTATGGTCTGATTCTTGCTTGTGGATTTGAAGTCTGATTTCAGCTTTCCATTGTGAACATAGTGGAGCATCAACATGCCATGCATATCTGGCTAACAGAGGGACTATTTTTTCACATGGTCATCATGGGACCTACAGTGTTGCTGTGGACTTTTTCACAATTTGAAGGGGGTGCTGCTATATGTTTTCATTGCTTTTGGTCCTCCCTTTAGTGCTGGCTTGTGTCTATTGTAGCTGCCTGAACTGTCTTTAGTTTTACTAGCCTAGTATGTCTGGAATTTTGACTGTACTCAGTACTTGTAACTTGAAGTTCAAATCTGTTTTCTTTTTAGTTTTCGCCATACTATGTCTGGCATGAACCTGGTTGAACTTGGCAACCAGCCAATTAACAAAAGCGAGTGGCGTCGAGGAAGACGTGACAGTAAAGACATGACGGTTGCCACGCCAACCGAGTTTGTCAAGAAGTACGGTGGTGACTACGTCATAAACAAGGTAATAGGATCAACCTTGTGTAACAGTCTCTTCACCGGGTACCGAGATGTAACAACCTCTCTGCCAAACAGCTCTAGTAAAGCAAAATTGTTAGTGCAGAAGTTGCTTCAGATTCTGAAATTACACCAAAAAAAGGGGCAAATTTTACACCCAAAAAAGGGGCAAATTGTTGTGTAGCACTTGCCAAGCTGAGTAAGTCATAGGGCTTGCTTTGACTGTAAACCAGTCTCTGCTGGGAAGTGTGCTTCTTTGTTCCTCAAATTACAGTAGACCTCATTTCTTTGTTTACTCGAGTCTTCAAACAGGCAGATACTGTTGAGTACTCTAAATCGTTCTTTTCTCTAGGTGCTCATCGCCAATAACGGCATTGCTGCAGTGAAGTGCATGAGGTCCATCAGAAGGTGGGCGTTTGAAGTGTTCCGCAATGAGAAGGCCATTCGTTTTGTTGTCATGGTGACCCCAGAGGATTTGACCGCTAATGCTGGTGAGCGATGAGCCATGGCTATGCTCGTACTATGGCAGTTTTTTAATACAGTGCTTATTAATATACGTTGGGTAAGGGCAAACCTGTTATATGTAATTCAGTAATCTGTTGAAAACAAAACAAAAAAAACAAATAAGGTTTCTTCCCAACATTGGTTGAAAAATGGATGAGGGAGGGCACATCAGGTGTTCACGAG